TATTTAATTAATTTATAAATTTAATTCTAATTATATTTAATTTATTACTAAATATTGAGGATAGAAAAATGCATTGGCATTTTCATCATCAGATCATGAAATGGTTATGTAGCATTCACTACAATATAAAATGCATTAATATATTATAAATATAGGTAAATTCTGATTAATAAATCAATTGGAACAAATATTGGCGTTTTTATTTGACGATCCTTCTCCAAATGACCAAATCCTGGGGATAGACACCATAAATCAGTGATCACCTTTAAAATCACTCGAGTAATCACTCACGATTATCCATAAATCGAGAAGGAGCGAATGTGCAAATTGGAACCAGAATTAGTCGATGATCTTGTAAACTCTAAGTAAACTTAAATTCATTTAAAAGTGTTTTCACTTTGAATATATGTAAGTATTATACCCTCTGCCAGGTTTTTAAAGCTTCCAAGAGTCTTAAGGAACGCCCATTTTTATGGCCCAAGGTAATCCTTGCTTGACAGTAAATAGACCCATTTACCAATTACTACGAAGAACATGGCAATGGAGGCTACCTGTGCGAAGAGATTTAGTCTCTCGTGAAGCAGAGCTTACCTATCGTCGTATCAGAATTTTTCAAGGGAAGGCTTTACTATTTGTAATCGTAAAAGTTCCAGAGTTATTTATTGAAAAATTATCATTAGGTTTAACATACATATAACTGAATACATATATACATATACTTTCATGCTTAACGCTGTACTTACACTCACCCTTGGCGCGCGCTGGAGACTTCAACGCAGGTTATAGCGTGTCGGGCGGCGCGCGGGCGACTTTCGTGATCACGAAAATATGTTTTGATGAAAGTTTCGAGGATTAATTTAGATTGTAGGCAAGCACAGTACTTACGGGCAACAGTTTTTAACAGTATTTGCGGCGTATCCGAGATTATTCATTATGTTTGTGAATTCTTCAATGATCGCGGATTTTATTATTTTTCTCGATATATAAATGCTCGTCCAGATGAATATCCTCCTTTACTTACAAATTACACAATTAACACCTTTATTAATTATTTTTTCAGTATTTTCGTTGCGACACTTTTCTACGCACAACCCTTTTACGTTTATCGATAAAGTTGCCATGCATGCGATTACTCGGTACGAACTTTACAATAGAGAAAGACATGCGCCGAGTATTGCGCACAGACATTCTTACTATATTCTTAGCATAATTATATCACCGCTTATACTCTTATGGAAAATGACAATAAACGTGGCGTTTTGCAAATCATATTTTGTCCACTTTCGAAATCGTTTTTCTTGACAATTTAAAAGCGTTTAAAACTAGAACCACCTAATAACTGCACCAGCCTTCGCTTTCACAAGAAGGAAGGATATGGAAAATAACCGCAACCATTTCTCGTCGGTTATTATTAGTAAGATATACATATTGTATAATACTCTAGAGTACAGATACCCCCTGGAATACTCGATAAAGTGGTATAGGAAATCTGAAACTCGCATTTACTACTTCGGGGCAATCGGAAGCAGGAAACCCTCTAACCGCGAGTGCGGAGTTCAAACCAAGAATTTCAAGCAATTTTCAACGTTTCTAAGAAAACCAAACACATAATTCACGTGTAATACTATACCGATGACATCAGTTTGATATAATTCGCGAGCGTTACCTATGCACGCAAGCGCAACATTTTCCACGAATCCCGATCCCGCCTGACTATCAGTTGCTCCCGTATATTCAGTTGCGTCGAGACGTGTCCAAATTCTGTGTCGACGATCATGTCTGCAGTAGCGAAAGCGGAGGAGGATCTGATATATGTAACTGAATATGTAAAGCCGATCTTAACAATAGTCGGTGCATGGCCCCTCCCGACTAAATCCTCTTTACCCTCAAAAATCGTACACAGAATAGAGCACGCGCTTTCATACTTCTTGTTCTTTTTATTAATCGTGCCTAGTTTAATGTACGTGTTCCTGAAAGAGAAAAATCCGAAAGTAAAGTTGAAGCTCATGGGACCTATAATTAACTGCGCTATGCAGATCTTTAAGTATACGATACTTTTATACCGGATGAACGATATACGTCGGAGCTTAGACTCGATTAGGCAAGATTGGATGGATGCCACTGAAGAAAATCGATTGATCTTTTTGGAGAAAGCAAAGACTGGAAGGAGAATCGCTTTAACAGCGGTAATCACAATTTACGGTGGCGGCTTCTGCTATCGGACGATCCTGCCTCTTCTCAGAGGGACGATTGTCACACCTCAGAACATCACCATAAGACTGCTACCGTGTCCGGCTTACTTCATCATCTTCAACGAGCAACTCACACCGAATTACGAGATACTCTTCCTGCTCCAAGTGTTGGCTGGATTCGTCACTTATACCGTGATCGGCGGATCTTGCGGGATTTCTGCCCTCCTGGTTCTTCACGTGTGCAGCATGCTCAGGATCCTGTTTAATAAGATAAAGAATCTCGTAGCGGGGAACACGGTTATGAATGAAATGGAGGTATATCGCCGAATCAAGGACGTTGTCGACTACCAGGCGAAAATAAAAAGGTGGGTAGAATTTTTACTCACGAACTTTATTACTGAAGAAGAATTTACGAATTTACGATCACTGATTACCCTGTCTACAAAATTTGCGTTTATTAAATGCATTCTGTTAGAGACAAGGCTTTAGCAACATGACATTGTGTACATTATATGCGTAATTTGATTACAGATTTCTCAAAAATATAGAATCAATTACAGAATACATTTGCTTAATCGAAATGATGGGCGGGACGTGCCTCATATGTCTCGTAGGATATTGTATCCTATTGGTACGAGCGTTTTATCATTAAAAATCGTGAAACGTACTTTTGAATGATAAGTAAAATTGTAAGAAAAGACTAATACGTTTTCAGGAATGGGAAAACCATAATGCCACGGCCATCATTATTCTACTCATGTTATCCACGTCTTTCGTGTTTTGCGTGTTCATATTCTGTTACGTTGGCCAACTTCTTGTGGACGAAGTATGTCGCTATTCTTTTTCTTTACTTTAATTGTAATAATCTTGAATACGTGCAATAACCGCTGTAAATATTCACACTGTTAGAGTCAGAGTGTGAGTCAAATGTCTCGTACGGTGGATTGGTATCTACTAGAAGCGAAGGATGCGCGCTCTTTGATATTAATAATCGCTATGTCTAATTATCCGATGAGGCTCACGGCCGGCAAAATGTTGGGACTGTCTTTAACAACGTTCACAGACGTATGTAAAACGAAACTCATCGCTTTAATCAACTACACCGTACGAATTTTCATTTTTAGGTCATGAAATTGTCAGTGGGGTACTTGAATATACTACGTGAAGTCGTTTAATTAGTACTGTAATACAACTGTGTTATATTTTTATTAAAATTTGTTCTTGTCTATGTCTAAAATCAAACGTTATATACATATATGTATATGAAGAGAAAATTCTTTTATCACATACATCTTTCATGTAGTCACACCAGCAGGACGATCACAATTTTCTTCTCATCGATCCATGTTGTACATTCAGGAAATGAATCAACCACAAAAAAGTTCAGTTCCTATAAAGAATAGCCATAGATAAAATTAAAGTGTCAAACAAATTCTTCGTAGAACTTCTACCATTGCTGTTTACGAACGACCACTTTATGTGTATACATATAAATTTCTGTAATGAACAACGTCAATTAAATGACTATAATAATATTTCAGTGATAAAGAACAAACGCATATTTCATTAGTCAATTTCTTCTGGAATATGTAAAACTCTCACAAACAGATGTATCCAGCTTAGCAGGCATTGTTTTCGATGCAAGCGAACTTCACATGCAAGTGGAAAAGTTCTTATTGCAACTGAAGCATCATTATTCTGTAGTTTCATTTCAAGCGGAATATAAATGTTATTTGGTTTGATAACAGTCCATTGAACATACAAAGTACGAATCATGTACCAAATGGCCTATGGCTAATTCAATGAAACTTTTCTCATGCGAAGGGGGACCCACTGGCGCAGGTAAATTTCAAAGCGATCAATTTCTGCTCGCGTCTATGATTTGTCTTCAGTAAGAGACTAATATCCAGTAATGTCGTAACGAAATGTTTTATGGAGCCGGAAAATTGTACGTACGCAAGCGCAGTATTCACAGGTCGGAATTGTCCTGACGACGGCGCGCGGCTAGTCGTACGCGAGCATTCAATATGGATAAAATAATCCCAACAGAGACTGCACAGAAGGACATAAAATACGCCACGCAGCTGGTGAAACTGATTTTAGGTATAGTGGGCGCCTGGCCAGTTCTGGCTACCGCTTCGTTCTCCAAGAAGCTCGCACAAAAGATCAAAAACTTTATCTCGTACTTCCTAATTCTGCTGCTGCTCATACCGGGTCTCGCGCAAATATTCCTGGAGGAGAAAGAAACCAAAGTTAGACTGAAACTGATGGCGGCGATGATCAACGCGGGAATGCAGTTCTCTAAATACACTCTACTTCTGTATCACGAGAAGAAAATCATACACGGTTTAAATTTGATCAAGAAAGATTGGATGAGCGCCACGCCCGAAAATCGGCTGATTTTTTTAGAGAAAACAAAAATCGGAAGGAGGATAGTGCTGATAGCGGCGAGCACGATTTGCA